ATATATATATATATAAATCAACAGTTGTGGAAAGATGTTCTTTGCAGTTTTGCACTGACATCCTTGACAGAAAAGATTTAACCAAATGTTCCTGTGGCTTTTCACTAGATGCAGTGAATGACTCATTAAAWTCCAAATAGGACGTCATCCCTGAAAAATTACTCAAATTGTTAAACTTGTAAGCTTTTCTTGTCATGAAGTGCTGTGAAAGAAAATTCCTGCTGAGGGACAAATCCATTTCCATTTTATTCTACTCTAAGCCCAAAACACGTTAAGAATCTGGAGGAAAGCAGGTGTACAAAACAAAAATCAAAATGTGTAATGTGTTCAAAAGTACTCATGTTGTCCGAATACTTTGGCAAGAAGAAGATGCTGATACTTTATTACTGCCCATGAAATTTATCTATCAACATTTTTTTTTTGGATTATTTGATTTATTCACCCCATTTRTTTATCAGACCTGAGCAGAGGACTGAATCTGTTTACAGGCAATTTTCAATCACCAACAAGACACCAAACATGCCTTCTAAAATGAAATTAACACAACAAACGTATTAGTAATTTTGAAATAATTGTGATTTCAGACCAAGTAATTACTCTGAAATATCTGAACCTGGTTGTCTGATTATTTAGACAGTTCCCAACCTTTTCAGATTTAGACAAAAAGAACTGAAGTAGGTACCTGGAAAATTAAAAACAAATGTTGTTTGTAGTAATTTTTAAATCTAATTCATTCTGAAAAATCTTTCAAGAGCCAACCAAGCGTAATGTTTCAGGACCCACACTGGACCCAACTTTGAGAACCACTAATCTAAAACCATGTCATGATGATGAGGAGGATGATGCCTTTATTGTCATTGTACAGAGCACTATGAAATTACATTTAAGAACACCCATTCAAGAAGACACACAAAATAAATAGTTAACTTTGAAAATCAGATCAGAATAATGGTAATAGTTCCACCAGATTGAATAATCAAAAAGTATCAGTTTAGAAATGAGTATCAGTTTGCATCAGATCAGCTTATCTTTCTTTATTCATCCCCAGACAAGTACGATAGCCTACCKTACTGTGGTACAGCTGGATCAGGCCTCTCTGGGTATGAAGATGTGCAGAATGTTGTGTCTTTTACTTTACTGGACTTTACAAATAAAGTGAGATAAAACAGACTGTGTGCAGACCTCAGAAACCTTGAAGCAGACTTCAAACATATGAACATGTTCATAGAACATGTGACTTTTGTGCTGAAAGAAATTCTGTTACAAAATCTACAAACCTGGATGGTCTTCAGTAACAAAAAAACAATAAAACTTCTTAAACTGCTTGTCTAATTTATTATTAGATAAATGCACTCACAGTACAAATMATCACCAGTCATTTTTTTTCACATTCCAAAAGGTTTCACAATCAAATGACCCTAACCCCTTCTCTGCATGGATCATGTTTTTATGAGCCTGAGAAGAAGTGGAAAAAACATCTGCTTCTACTGTTAGGGTGTCCTGAGAGTGGAGTCATATATATTGTTTTATTTTAGTTTTTATTTCTTTGTGACACAGAAACACGGACACGTGATTTTGTAAATAAAGGTGTTCCTTTGTTGGACTTTGGTCCCACATTTTAACGTAAACCTGCGTTCTCTTTTGTTTTAAAGCGGTGGCCATCCCCGTACGTAAATGCGTTTGATGAATACGTAGGCAGCGTAAGTAGGCTGTTCCAAAGCAATCGGTCGGTGAAGGGTCTTGTGGGTCATGGAGCAGGAAGGTAAATAGAAAAGCGGGGCGCTAAGAGAGCACTCAGCGGTCGGTGTCGGACGGTTGCTGGGAACACATTTGTTCCGACTGGACTCTGGTGCAGAAACGGGAGCCAGGGGGGAAGGCGGGAGGACACACACAGACCGGAGCAAAGCGACTGTTGTTCGGCTACAGCACAGGAGGAGCTGTCGGCGGTGAGATGAACATCATGCTACCCGTCTAATCACACTGCTCCTCTGGGTACTCGCTACAGGAATCATCTCTGTGCCATGGCCCTGTTCTGATAGCTTGCTAACTAGCACTTAGCACACTTGTTTTAAAAGTACAGCGGTAGTTTATTGTTTATTTCTCCTTTTTCAATTTGATTCTTTAATGAGCTTATTAGGCTACATGAGGAGATAACGAAGCTAATGTTGCTGTTTAGCTCCAGTTAGCATCGGGGGGTCAGCCAGGCACCTGAACACTGACTGACAGGTGTGCGCCCTTAAAGTTAAACCCTTTTATGACTTGTGTAGTTTTTTTTTTTAACAATTAAGCTTTGAACATTTATATTAGAACGCAGCCTTTCGGAGTGAGTGATGTAAACACAGTGACCTATCTGATAATGTCTGTATTAATATCTTTGTTTAATCCTCTTACTTTGACCCTAATCATAAAGCAGCAGCTGTGTGTGAATCGGTCTGCAATGAGCAGTCCACCTGCACGTTGTGTAATATTTTATGTGATGTTTTTTTTTTTTTAGGTGAACACAATTAGTTGCTCTGGTGAAGAGTAGATTTGAACAGACAGGGAATTAAATTTCTGCTCATTTTTCATTATGAAAATGGTCATTGTTGCATGTCCCTCCAGGGAGGTTGGAGAGATTTTTGAGTAGGTCAGCAAACATAACATTTGGTCGTCTGTTCATTTCTGGAGCTGCAGATCAGGCGAGCACAGCAGAAGCAAGGTTTTAATTTGAAATGATTTTTAAACTCTAGTATTACTCTGGTTTTTGAGGATCAGGTGAGTGAACAACACACTAACAACCACCTTGTATTTGTCTTAAGTTTTTATCCGCTACTGATGTTTTTTTTTTTGTTTTGTTTTTTGTAAAAGCAGCTGTGATGTTAAAAGCTAAAATGTTCTGAATTGACTGCTTGAGTGAAATATGCTGCAAATATTGAAATCCCTTCTGGGCCTTTATGTCCCTGATACTCACGGTTCACTTAAAGCGAGAAAGTGACACGAAAAACAGCAGATGGAGTCTGAATTTGTTGCTCTCAGTTTTCTGACCCACTGGTTARAAATATGTATAGTTTTCTATTTTTGAAGTTATGTTACAGTAATCATACATGCAGTAAATTTAAACTGTCTTGCCTTTGGGCTGTAAACAGTTCTAAAATAAGAGGATATTACTGTATACATCAGTTTAAGAACTGCATAATGCGTTGTCTGACAGCTGTCATTTTAGTTTGCTTCGTTAGTTTAATTTGGGATTGATCTGCTGCAGATTAATTGCTGTTTTACGAGATTAACCAGACTTGCTACTGATTGTTAGTGAGCACGGAGGCATCTGCAGTCCAGACCTGTTCGTTTGCTGCAGCAAGATGTTTTGGATTTATAGTAGGGAAACTATTTAGTGTAGGCACATTTATTTATTTATTTTAATATTCAAAACACATGCACTGCAGCTCGGTTAACGAATAAATTATTGGAGCAAGAACGTACAAGTGCCAGTGTTAAGTGTTTAAAACAGATTTGTCGTTAATGTGAAGCAATGCACGAGAACATCGACACAATTTACATTTTTAAATCGTCCAAAACAAACTTAGTGTCGCACCTTTTTCTCCTCCTCCTCAGTTTTTAGGCGGCGTGGTCGGGTTTGCCTCATCCTTGTGTTGCCATGGCGATGCGGGAGTTGGTGGAGGCAGAATGTGGGGGAGCCAATCCCCTCATGAAGTTGACCGGTCACATGACCAAAGAAGACGGGGCTTGGCGGCACCGTGCAACACCAACAGTGAGTTGTGATGCATRCAGTAAAAACACAATGAGTTTTTCTTCAGACTAGTCATTTAATCTCTTGCTGACGCCGTTATTTTTGTTTATTTTTAYTTATTTTATTTATTTTATATTATCAGATTGCTCCCACACCCATTGAAATAGCAACAGAAGAAGAGGTCAGTGTTTTCTATCAGTCATTAGAATATTATCTTGCTGAAAACATTTAGTCGCTTTTAACTGTAATATTATTCTTGTGTTTTTTGCTTCAGCTGGTAAATGAGTTCCTTCAGGCCCCCCCACGACCCCCCCACACCTTTGACATGGGTCAGCTGCTGGAGGAGATGCAGCAGATTGACCAGCAGAGCTACAGACAAGCTCCACAAAGAGGCATTCTGTCATTTTCACTCTTTAATCATCCGTTTTATTTGCCGGCTTTGAAGTGTTTTCTTCAGGGTTGGTTTGAATTATGCACAAACCGTCTGAATAAAGGCAGAAATATTTCCGTGTCGCAGCTCCAGATGTGGCGGCGCTGGCCCTCTCGGGTGACTGGGCAGCCGAGTTCCTCTCAGGTTCCTCCGACCCGGCTGCCACGTCGGGGCTGAATGCTCTCGGCGATGCGGCAGATGCTGATTGGACGAGAGAGTTTATCGCTGAGGCCGCAGGTAATTTGAGTTCGCCTCTCACACCGGATACCTGCTGGTCGTGCAGCTTTCTGGTTGTTTTGTCTTCTGTTTTTGAATGAGAGCACTGTGCTCAGAACAGTTTCATCTTTTTGAAATCATATTTTTTTTGTTTGTTTTTTGCTCGGATGACCGTTTTCCTCTTCTTGCTCCAGACCCTGGACGCTGGGCAGAGGAGTATCTGGAGCAGTCAGARGAGAAATTGTGGCTGGGGGACCTTGGAGACAAGGAGAGTGAATGGTGAGAGTAATGTGTGCTTAGAAACTACACAGAAAATGAGCTTTTAGAAATGTTAATCCTGAGCACAGGCAGAACACTTGTGTGGGAGTAAAAAAGAGAAGAGAAGCACAGAGGGGGGAAAAACAACCTTGAAAATCATCTTGTTGAATGAGTTTCTCAAATAGATTATAATTTTTCCAACTTTTAACTTCATCTGCCTTTCTTTAATTATGTTGAACTTATTTAGATTAAAGCTTTTGCAAAAGTTGTGGAAGCGTTTGAGCTTGAATGAAAGCTCATGTAAAGACATTCGGCCTTCACTGGCATCAAACAAAAGGCAAAGTTCTGGTTTCAGCTTGAATTAATTCATTCCAGCCTGCAGTACCACAAGAAAACAGAACTCCTGCTTCGCCTTAAACCTCGGCCCAGCGTCATGTTGGTACTTTATTTTTTATTTTTTTGGCAGGACAAAGGAGTATCAGCCTGAAGATGAGCTGCGACAGACGGCCAATGAGCTCGTCTCAAAGGTCGATGACCCCAAGTTACAAAACACAGAGGTGAGCGACGTGTCTTTCTGTCATTCATGGATCATCCTTACACCACACGTCAAACCTTTCACCATATTCTGTCTCTTTTTTCTTTAATATTTCCATAAAATTAATCTTTAAAACTGTAGAGCAATGATTACACAACCTTCCATAGTGTTTATTTTAAGGTTTTTATTTAAACTTCATGAGAAATTAGCTGCATATTAGCAAAACCTGACCAGTTAGTGATGGTAAATACATTTTTGTTGTCGTTTTTTTTTTTATTGTTGTGTAGTTCCTGCGATTCATTAGGCAGATTGGCGAGGGCAGTGTGACAGTGGAGAGCAGAACAGACAAACAGCTCACAGATAAAGTTCAGGCCCAGGAGGCTCAGAACTGGGCCTCCAACCTCAACCAGGTACGAGTCACAGCCCACTGAGGAGGGCATGGTTCTAACTGTGGGGAGCGAGTTGGTTTTTTTTTTTTTTTTTTTTTTTTTTTTTGCACATAGGCTCTGCCTTGTGACTCATCAGCCCGGTATCTGACGCAGTGTAATATTTTCCACAAATGTAACCAAAATGGAGCCAGAGTCTGCAACATGAATCTCAAGGCTGCAGAGAAAATTTTGTTCTTCGACTTGTTTTCATTTTAATTGAGTTTTTTTTTTATGTCTGCAACAGAAGGTTGTTTCATTGTTTTCTCTTATCTCATTCTTACTGTGCTTGTAATCTCAGATGTCACGCTTCCAGTGCCAGATTTTAGGTTTTAACTTGTTTTTCTGCTAAAAATCACAAAGCTGAAGGACCCTACAGAATCTGCCAAGATAAGAAAAAATATTTGTAAATGAAAACAAACCAGGCAAACTAATAAAATACAAGAGGAAGATTTGTCATTTTATTGTTTAAGAATTTAAATTCAGAATTTGACCGTTTAGTTGGAGAACATCCAGTTCATCTTTTAAGCAATAAAGTGGATAATATTTATGTATTAAAGTAAGAGTATGTTACAGAGCTGTATGAAACTAGAGATAGCGTGTTTTAATTTATCAGCGGTCACATTATTTAACTTGGTCTTTCTCTGAGGTTATAGCTTTTTCAGTGTTTCTTTAAACTATTTGAATTATTTGAATTTTATTGTTTAATAAGTGTTAACGAGCTCATCATTGTCTCAAGCACTTATTTCTGCAATTTCTTTAATAACTTCCCTGATTGTGTAATAAGAAAAAGAGAATATTTTTTGCACTTAGTGTTATTTGCTTTGACTTGTGTTTGCAGAAGTTGATTCCAAATTCTTCATTTATTCCTTATTTACCAATTTTTATCATCTCACTTCTTGTTTATCACCTTTTATTCTCCCTTTTAATCCTATTTATAATTTTGTTTTTTCTTTTTCTTGGTAACAAATGGGCTTCTTGTTTTTGTTATGACTGAATACTTGTCCCATGTCCTCTAACTCTGACGTGTACTGTTCCCATTTTTCGACCCTCCCCCAAACTCCTGGCTCGCCATTCCCTCAAATAACAACCTTCATTTATTTATTAACAATAAAACTCCCTCCACCTACTGCCTCTTGCTCCTGAAAAACATTGTTCCATTTTACCACCCCGTCCTCGCCTCCCATCGTAGTTCCTGACGGAGACGGGGGGAGGGAGTCTTCCCTTGGAACCTCCAGAGACCGACCAACAAATTGAGAAAGTTAAAGCTAAACAAGCAGAGCAGTGGGCCAGAGTCGTCAGGCAGGTAGGACCTTTGTGGTCGTGGCAGAAGTAGGTTTTTTATATTCGTAGGAGTTAATTTTAACAGTAAATCCCAGATTTTTATTTCATGCACAGATTAAAGACGCATCTTTGCTGTTATAAGTTTTCTTTCTTCCAAAATAAAAGTGTGAAGAAAGAAAATCATGTAGCAAACGACCTCTCAGCTGTTCTTTCTGCTCTCATCTTTACTTCCTTTACGTTAACTTTCTGCTTCATCTTTCCCGTTTTCACCGTCACCATCTTTCATTCTCACAAGAAGTTTTTTTTTATTAGCCAGCACATATGGACTCGTGGCAGCCGGTGTCATTGCTCTTCACTGCTCTGCAGGTGTCGGAGGAGTCGGCTGAAGCCTGGGTAGATGAGTTCACTGCATCTGGACCGGATTTTCATCAAGCCAAGGCTGCGGTGGAGGTAAAATGGATAAAACCCATAAAAGATTGTGTTCTGGTAGGGTTAGGAATAAATGTTAAAACTGAAAAATAAGGAAGGTTTTCAGAACAGTCTGCGTGACATTTCCCTTTATTTAAAAGTAGCTTTAATCCTCTTTGAGTGGGGAAAAAACTCACTTTTCTTTCAATCTTATTCCTGTCTGGATTGAAAAAGCAACCAATAAACTGGTAATTTTCCTGGACGTGAAGTCAAAAATGTCTCCTAAAACAAAATGATGTGAGGAAACCAGTAAATAAAGTTTTGTGTCTTTTATTCTGGCAGAGTGATGTGGATTTCTGGGAGAAGCTGCAGCAGGAGTGGGAGGAGATGGCCAAGAGAGACGCAGAGAGTCATCCCTGGCTGTCGGACTACGATCAGCTGCTCAGCTCCTCTTACGACAAGGTAGCTGCTCAGAGCCGCCGTTCTCTGAGGAGTATCACACTTTTTCTGTGTTTCAAGGCTTTCTGATAGGGCTGCAACTCACCATTATTATAATAATCGATTAATCAGGTGATTGTTTTCGACAAATCGGGGGGAATATTTTTATTTACATTTTGACGTCTTTATTTGGAAAATTTSGACTGACGTAGCAAATCTCACAAAAAACAGGTTACTGTTTAAGAATTTTGTTACTATAATAAATAGTAATACGGTTATAAGTAAATGTTTGTCAAATGTCTTCAGTTAAAAGAAATGCACTATATATGCTCTGTCCTTGAAAGTTTTTGTATTTTCTCTCCATGAGCTTTGTAAAAGGTGTCCTTGAGGGACGAGTGTACCCTGGAACAAAAGTGTGGACCATTACAGTGATGTCTTTGTTTGACCATGGAAAGTCTCTTGTTAGTGACGATCATCCTAAGGATGCTTTCAGTCAAGACAGCTGCTTATTACAACCATTCACTAAATACCTTGTTTTCACTCAGACATTGTCAGAAAATTAAAACTTAAAGCTTATTCATTAAATTAATACCATCATCAATCACTCAACACAACGAATCAATAGAAAATTTGTTTCCAACACTTTTAATCTATTTTTATTGATTTTGTCGATGCATTGTCGCAGCCCTAGTTTCTGACATTTATAGTTTTGTTGTTTTTCATCCATTTGTCGCAGGGGTATCAGTTTGAAGAGGACAACCCCTACATATCCCACCCGGACCCCTTTTCAGAAGGACTGAAGAGGATGGAGGCGGGGGACATTCCTGGAGCTGTTCGCTTCTTTGAAAGTGCTGTGCAGAAGGAACCAGACAACCAGCTGGTGGGAACCCTGTTTAAACTCTTTAAATGGTGTTAAATGAAAAATAAACAAAAAAAATCTTTTTATTAAATATTCTTATTTTTTAATAGCCTGGCCCTTGCCTTCCTACGCAGCTCCGCTCAATTATAGWTTCCCTTCACTGCTCCGTCTGGGACTTATCCCATTGACAAGGATTTCACTGGCAGATTTTTAGCCGGGCCAATCAGAGAACAGAATGTCGATTTTCTATGCAGTGTCTGCTTGTAGTTTATTTTACCTGGGCCAATCAGCAAACAGATGGAGGAGTTTTGAATGACATCGATGTTCTGCGCAGTGTCTGCTAGTAATTTTAGCTACGGCAGTGGAGGAAGAGAATGAAGCCAGTCTGTGTTAAGGCTTCCAAATTAAAATAAATTTGTCTGACAAAGCAACAGCTCTCATTTACAGTCGTCTCGTTCGGCTCGGTATATTTCTCCTCTCGGGTTGTTTACAGCACACACGATTTCCGGTTAGCTTCTTAGCTTAGCCTCCTTCACAGTGACACACACACACACACACACACACACACACACACACACACACACACACACACACACACACA